GTAGTAATACAGTGTTTTGGGATTTCTCACTCGTAAGTTGTTTATTACGTGTGATTATATGATTTTTTTCCTGAAAGAGCAGATCACACCTAGTCATGGTAGAAAAATTCGTTAGAAAAATTACTATGTATTAACTACCTATTGTACTATATGGTATACTGGACCGTGATACATGGTTCCTGAAGGTGATCTGTTATAGCTTACTATCCAGATAGACATACAGACAGAGTCAACGTGGAATCTCACACAAAAGTGCAGTGGCTCAAGTTACCACACCTCACAACAGCTTGCAGAGAGGTAGATAGAAAAAGAGTGATATTAGAGAAGACGAAAGTGTAAAGGAAGAGAAAGAACATAAGTAATGAAGGTTATTAAAAATAGTCAAAAGTTAGAATACATCTGTGTCATTATGACAGATTTTCAACCACGTCACCAAGACTCTAAAAATCGATCCCTACTGTCTCAAGGACCCCAACCAGACAACCTACATTTGCCTAAATGGCTAAGACCAACGATGAGAGACTTCATAGACTGGTGCCTTCTTCCAACCTAATCCAACTCCCGCTAACACCGTTTATCCAGCTAGGCCGTGGCTCGGGATGCACAACACATGTACAAGCCACTAGAGTCGTTGAAGGTTTATAACGTTATTGAATGACTTGTATTTCTTGTCTAGTAGGAGTAAAACTTGAGCACTGTATTATTATTATTATTATTAATTGTCGCTTGGGTTCTTAGTGGAACATAGGGCTTCAGCAGCACCTCTCCATTGCACTCTATTCTCTGCAGTTTTCTGAAGCTGGCTGCACGTCTGCCCACAACCTTCTATTTCTTCCTCACACGATACCCACGTCGCCCTCGTCTCGAACGCCTAACTCGTCGTTTCCCATTCTAGTTCCACTCGAGGTTATGGCCTGGTGCGTGATGTCCCCAATCGGTCCTTTCAGTGTATGCCTAATCCATGTCCACTTTCTTCTGCATATTTGTTGGGCGATAGGTTGTTGGTTGGTTCGTTACCCGGCCAGAGTTCCTTGTTGCTTATCCTCATTATTCTGGCTACCTGATCTTCAGTGTCAAGTGAGCGTAGACGACAGCTGTTGATGTATGTTTGCAGTTTGTTGGAAGTGCTTTTTGTAATGCGCCAAGTCTCTCAACCATCACATAGAAACACTGACTTACTTGGCTGAATTAGTGTTGAAAATCCAGATGTTGTTCACGCTTTATGCTGAGTGGAGTGGAGCAGATCTCCACACTGATTTCAGAATAATGAAGGCCTGTCTTGCTTTGAGATCGTGGCTTTGACATCTTCATCCGTGCCGCCGCCTGTAGTTGAGATGATGCTGCGTTTATATTTCTCCCGTTAATGGTGATTGGTGCTTGTTGTTGATGCTGTTTTTGGTTGGGTATCTTCATCACCTCTGTCTTCTCCACATTCATCTGAGGTCCCGTCTTCCTAAGCTGCCTCACCTCTCCTAACATCTTGTTAGTTTTCGCCTGTAGATCTTCGAGTTTGTGCGGCAAGATATTAGTCATAAATCGTCATCGTCATAGGTTATACTCAGTCCTTATTTTCGTTGTTCATCCTTGCACTGCACTTCTTCATCTTCTACTTCACCATCTTCCTCTGCCTCCTCTATCAGCTTCCATGTGTCAGTGGAGATCCATTTCTTGTATTGCCTCTTCTTCCTTCTTAACACGGTTATGCAGGTTTCTTTCCACGTCTCTTTCAAAGAGCCCCAGTGTTCTTCCAGGCAGGTTTCTTCGGGATGTTGCTTAATATCTCCCATTTTGTCCTGATGGCTGAGTGGTGTGAAGATGTCCTTTGTAGTTTCGTTCTTCAGTTCAGTTTCTATTCTGGGTGTTTAACTTCAACTGTTGTCTATCACCAGCTTCTTCTGTGAAGGCTTTCAACTTGGTTTTGAAGGTAGGTTTCTTTTGCTAGATAGTGAGTGGCGTGAACCTACATCTGCTTCCCTTCTTGATGTGATCTTGTGTCCAGTAGGCTGTACCTCATCTTTCTCCACATTGAGATGAAGTCGATCTGATTTTTGGTGTGTCCATCTGGTGAAATCACCTCCATGTCGCTGCCTTGTGAATATCCTTGTGTTTGTACACAGTGCTGCATTGCAATCACCAAATCGTTGAATGTGCAGAAGTCTGCAAACAGTTGTCTATTCTCATTCATTTCACCGAGTGCCTCTCAACTCATGATTGGTTCTCATCCTGTGTTGTCTGCTCCCAGTTTGGCATTCATGTCACCCCACCCATTAGAGTTTTGATGTCGCCATCTGGGGTGGGGTCTTGTCCAGTGTTGATTGCAGTTGTCTGTGGAATCTCTCCTTCTTCTCTTGGTCTGCATTATTTGTAGTTGCGTAGCGTAGCATTGAATGATTGTGACTTTCTTTCCTTTGAGTTGAATCTTGCTGTCATGATTCTGCAGGGTTAGATTGGTTCGCACTGCATGAGAACCTTTGATGCTTTTGGGGACATCATGATAGTCACTCGAAAACTCAGTGTGCTGTGCTCGTGGTTGTCGTCTTGGTGAGAATATCGGAATATATTATTGACTCTACAGTTGACAGTGTGGAGAGTCCACTTCCATTCCATCTGCTTTCGCAGATTCCTAACACATGTGTGCTATACCTTCTCATCTTCTTTGTAATCTGAGCAGCCTTGCGGACATTCCATGTCCCCATTCTTACTTTTGCTTTCATGGAAAGAAGTGAAGACACATCATCCAGTTGGCTTCTTGAAGTCTTTTACCGGCCGGCGTCATTTCTTCGCCTCGCTTCCAGCAAGGAAGGAGTTTATTTTTCTCTTGTATATTTTTTGTGCCTTGGAGTTTCTTTAGCTATTGGATTAGTTTTCGTGTGTGAGGTTGGTAGCCGTATGCCCAATCTTCCCTCTTTATCCGGGTTTAGAACCTACTAGTCACTAGTGAACTAGTTAACCAGACGAGGTTACTTGATCATTGTGGTAGATTGTGATTCCATGTTAGTCTGGTTGTTAGATGTGTCACACAGTGAAACATTACTATTTACTGGATGAAGTTTCGGACATAATTTATTGTCCATTTTCACCTGGGAAGACAATAAATTGTGTTTGAAACGTTACCCAGTAGATAATGCTGTTTCACTGTGTAACGTTTCTAGTAAACAGACTAAAATGGAACTGATGCACATCGTGTAACCTCAACGTAGCTCACACGTGGATCCCATCATGCATGAAAAATACTGTAAATATGCCGGTGTTCGATGACCTACAACCTCTCCATGCAATCTTTTCGGACTGGTAAAGGTTAGTCATAAAATTGGCATTCAGCTGTATTGTTTGAGAACTCATCATTGGTCTGTATCATGCACATGTATTCATAATATACTATTAACTATTGTCACGTTTCTATTCTTACTGCTGACTGTGACATGAACCGTAGTTTTTGGTTTGTGGTACTGACAAAATTCGATTACTAAACATAAAGAATTTTATTTCAAGATTTTAAGCAAAATTTACTATCGAGAGTTATCTTCAGGCATCAGAACTAAATGGAGCTAATCGTTTTTTCTGTTTCCCTTCAAATGTTGGAAATGAAAAGCTAATATGCTAAATAATACTTGAAACTAAAAACCCTTCGGCTAAAAAATAAAACTTCTAAACGGTCGACCGGAAATTTGAACTCTTCTCCACTTCTTCAGACTTGAGAAGTCAGGTAATATTATCTGCCGTCACAAAAAGGTGTACTTCATCGTCTAGTACATGAAACTTGATGAGTTGAGTTACATTTTTTTCACATCATTTCGTGTTTTGACGTTTCTAAACTATCCCAGTTCTAACAAATAAGATCGTCAAATGGTGGTTTAACTTGAAGTTCTATTTTGGTTTTTTTTATCGTATACTTAGTCTAGATATAAATTGAGTGCTATAATGTATATATGTCTTATATGAAGTGCTGGATTGCATACAATTATATGTACACTTTGTTTACAAAACTTAGTTTCGGAGAAATAAATAATTAATGACATCGTAAATAGGTATTTACATTCTTACTATCAGAATCACCACCACCATCATTATCATCGTCACTTCATTCTGATTACATAATCCATCTAGGGATCTGTACTTACTAGTTTGTATCACACGATTCCAAGCCTCCTCGTTTTATGTCTGCATTTATTGGTATTGGGGTGATGATCTAGACTACACTGTTCATTTTATTGGATGGTTATTTATGAAGGTTGTATAATCTAATGTATAGAAAAGTAATAATGTCAATTGTCGTTTTGTTATACAGTTACTCTATTGGACTTACCACTGTACAGTGTAAGTGATCTACTATGTAGTTAATACAACATGTTGGTCAGCAGATTGCTGTAGATAGTGGTTCTACATGGCCAGACGTCTCGTTTTCTTTTAGCATTACCTGTCATTTTACCAATACTGATACTTATTGGGCTCAACATGTACATTATTTCATTATATTGAGTAATCTACCTCGCACTGTGAGGCTCGGTTTGAACTGACATCTACATGTGTACCTAATGGGGGGTATCATATTATGATCAAACAACCACCTAATAATCCTCCTTGAATTTCACTGGTTGTGATGAGAGAGAAACTTCTGAATCTACCGGATTCAGTGGATTAACTGGGTTTAGGTTATTTCCTTCAATGAAAGTTAATGAATAGAAATTTGAATGTAAATAGAATGTAGGTCAAAGACCAGGTAAAAAGTTTATGTCTTATTAGACTGTCTTTGTAGATGAGTTGAGGTTAATAATGCGTAAGAAAGAGATCAAGAGTTTTCGGAAATAGTCTTTATTTTATACTGCAGTAACTTTCCTAATATACCTCACTCACCTGTTAGTTGAAAATTTAAAATGTTTTATTCCTAAAGTTTCCTTTTTCTGTACTCCTTAGTTATCAATTAAACTCAGTGTTTATTACATGTAGTATAGTAAAATCACCTTCCTATTTCCATTTTTCCTGTTCTATTTTACTAATAGATTTACGCTTCAAACCAACAGACCAGACTTCATCTACACTAAGTGGTTGTTTTGTGAATGGTATTACAGAACATGGCATTAATTCTGATTCACCGTAAGTTTATGTTTGCATTTTCTTCTACTGTTTGTATCGACCAGAAGTAATCTTTTCAATATGAGTACTTTGTGTAATCATGATACATTTATTTAAAATATGAAAACGTATTTGATCGGTGCTACTTTTCAAGTGTTATTCACTGTTTGCATGGTTAGCACATTAATACATTGACTTGATTGATCATATTTCTGAGTAACAGAATAAAAAGGAGCAATAATTATAAAAAAAAGCAAGAATACATGAGGCTAGAATGTTCAGGTAGATTTTTTCCTCAGAACCAGGTGTAGGGTGTTTTTATCAGTTGAACTTAGTTCGACTCCGTAGCGGGAAATGAATAATGTTGAAGTTAGTCATAGAGTGTTGAGTAAAAATGTGAATGAAGTTGTCAACTTGTCGAACTTGAAGCAACTGGGGTACATATACATGCTAATCTGTCTTCTACTCGAACATTTTATGTTAGCTGAAGTAGTTTTTAGTAGGAAAACGCTGAGGATATGAAATCAAGTTGTAAGTTGGTCACTGTCTGTTCTGAATTATGTGAGGGAGTATAGGCTGTTTGACTAAGATCCTCAAGATTGTAGAAATCAGTTACTGGGTATTTCCAGTGATATGGCCTATAGGTACTATCATAATAGCTCAGGTGGGGGGAGTGTTCTCTATCACCTTCAAAAATCTGAGTACTTTATTAACTTTTGTTAATTCTCTATCACTTTGCCCATATTGCTTGTTTGCTTTGCCGTTTATGTACTTTTGTTGATTTTTTCGTCATGTGTTGTTGTGAACTCTGGTATTGTAGGTCGTTGCATTTTTATATGAATTTTTCTCCATCTATTTGAAAAGAATCATGTCTTCAACTGCTAAATACTAGTTTTCCTGAGAGAGTCCAATCGAGTCAACAACTTTGAGTATCCATTAGAGTAATGATTAATTCTCGAAGTTGATTTTCAATACCAATTGTTTGAGATTGAGTGCTTCAACTGTCCTACCGGTTGTGTAAGGATTGATTGATTGCAAAACATTTCTCACCACTAATTGACATCCATTAGAGGACTGTGGATGGCAATTGTGAATTAAATCCTGATCCGGATGTTTCGGATTCGTGTTTACTATGTTGAACTGTGGCTCACTAATATAGACAATGGATTCGCAATAAGTAGGTCATGGGTGAGTACCGCCTTCACTTATCAAGGTTTGGATGGTCATTTAGTAATTAATAGCCCTCTGGTCATTACCCAGTGCATGAAGTGCATGTGGTTACTGAGTTAGATTTTTCTGTGGTGTTTTAATTGAATTGAGTCATCAGTGTCTTCATCCTAGTTTGCCCTATAATTTCATTAGCATTCACAAGATGAATATACAATCAACTTGCAGACAAAATGTTGATTATGCAATGAATTTTTTTGCAACGTAATAGAACTTTACTAAAAGGCCTTCAAAGGGAGAAAAATCGACAGAAAAAAATACTGATATAAGGCTGTGGCATCGTGAATTTATTCCTTTTGCCTATATTTACGTAACACCCTCGACAATTTGTCTGGTTAGTGTCTTTTCTGAGGAAAATTAATTGGGAGACGGGTAGTGGGTGCGGTAGCGGGATGACTTCTATGAAGAATGATATATATATATATATATATATATATATATATATATATATATATATGCATGCTTACGTTTGTTTATCATTCTGGGCTAATTTAATTATGAAAGGGAATGTGTTGCACATTTCGGTAGTCTGTTTACACTTATTTTCTGACCAACAGTACAATGCGTGAAGACAACAAAAACTATAAATGAATGCATGTTTCTGTTGTTTTCAGTTAGTCATTAGTGTCTGGCTTAAAACTTGCTATAGTAGCAGTCTTTATGAAATGTATTCTGTAGTCACTAAGTCAGATACTAAATGAATCATTCATTGCGACTCACTGTAAAATAAGCATATTTGGTTGAATATTATAGTATGTGAACCATTGAATTCCAACCCAGTGAGTGAGTGGTAACGTGCTCGTTACGAAACCTGAGTCAAATTCCCTGACGGAGTCATGGGTGTGTAATGCTGAGTTGCACGCTAGGGACGAAACAGCTTTACATTGCTTTCAGGTTTTCAACACTTCCCCTACTGATGTCCCTCCGTGATGAGTATCACCTTAATATTCATTAGGCGAAACAAACACCGAAAGCATATACTTCCTTCATATGTGATACTAGTTGAAATGTATTTGTAACGAAGTAATCTTCCTGTCATTTTAGTTCCTCATTTTGCTGATGTCATTTTCATTCCACTACAATACTGTGTTAGTTCTTCAGTAATGTATTCGTAAGTGGTCAATATTAAGCTGTGATCTAATAGATTTCAACACATCAAATTAAACCCTCTGTAAGGATAATTTTTATTTGTAAAATTCTAGTGATGTAGAAAAGTGAATTTCTGACTTCTTATAACCTCGTGATAAAATTTGTTTCTTTATAGAATACAATTTGCATTCAAACAAATTTAAATTCATTTTGATAATGTTGAAAATGTATTGCATGAATTTCATATAGTGAAAACCGGTAAGTATCTTGTCATAGATGCGAAACCTCAAAGACCACAGTTTCGATTTAGAATTGAACGAAGCAGAGCGTAATAAAAAGTTAATAAAAAATGTCCATCCCTTGAGTTGCCTCGCCTTTCCCAGAATGCAATAATAGTTAAAAGTAGACAAAATTAGATCAAATTTATTTAATGCTACTGGTTTGGTACAAATGGGAGTAACTGATCAGTTTCAAATGATGTTACCGATATACAAACTAATATCCTGTATCAGTGATTAGAATCAATTGGTGTAAAGTGAAGATTGGAGGTGAAATGAAAATAATCGATGTCGTGATAGGATTTTAATAAAGTAATACAAGTCTACCAAACTACGGCTGTCTAAAATAATCCTATCAATGATTCTTATCAACTTGGGAAATGTGTCCTGTCAGCTTATACAGTTCAGACTAGCAGTTAAAGATTTCACTGCAATCACCTAGTCTCTTGAAACCCTTTTGAAGTCTTGCGTTGACATTCATCTGTAAAATAAATGTCTGATACTGTGAATGTACAAAATACTGCTTAACTAACTAAATGCTTAGCTTACTTTATTCCATTTGCGTACTTGGCATCCTCATCTACCAATCGAGCAGAGATGGGTATCATAACCTCCTGTTTCCTGCTACCAGTAAGGCTCACACATACACGAGGTCGTACTAGCTCGTGACCGGTGTCCAAACTGGTACTCCAGAAACATCGGCAATATTTTGTTCTCATGTTGACAATAAATACAATAAACCACATCTTGATGCAAATCTGTACTAATCTCATGGGTAAATAACTTGAAGAATAAATACTAGTCAGTAATTTAAGTTAGCTAAACATCCTATGTTAATGTGTAATATCCTAATTGACTTTCGTTCACAACACTACTTACTTCTAGTGGGGCTAACGCCTTGTGAACTAATAGGATGAGATATTTCATTTTCAGATATGAAATCGTAAATAGTGTATCGAGTAAGATGGTATGATCATGTATTGCACATTTTATATTCTGTGAAACGCCCAGTTAATCTAACCCTTGTGCGTCACCATGAGTTGATTGGTGAAACATGTCAGCAGCAGAAATAGATCCATTCCTTACCTTCACCCCAATCTTTGTATTTCAGTTCGTTTTCTGCCTAAACCCTTGTTATTTTATCTTTCAGTTTCTCTTGCACTCGATTACATTTATATTTCTTCATTTTCCCCCCTATATATTGATGTGGTGATGTGAAGTCTGGTAACTTGACTTGTTATGCATTAACGCCAGTTGATAGTTATGTAATACCAACCAATGATTTAAAAAATCAGTTGAGTGAAACGCAATCTTTTCTTCCTCTGAATTCGATTCAAGAAGCGTGGTTTATTGATCTAGGCAGTCTAGTTCCAACCGGTAGGTCACAGGTTCAAACCCCGCCTCGCCTACCGAAGTTTGAACACTCAGGTGGTATTATTAGATCTCACACAATAGATGTGACTCATTGCCTATTATACAAATGGACACAAGATTGTCGAAAGCATTTTGATGCATTTCAATTCCAGTCGCAATTAGCTCGTTTTTTAGGTTTGAATAGTCTTACAATGACATCTCTCCTTGTAAATTCCGTATACCTCTACACGATAAACGCTTATGAAAACATAAACTTCAACCGTACATACACAAGTTGGGACTAGATAGAAACACACTTCGAACTGTTGGATGGTCTTAGAAGCGTTCAATAGTTCAATGATATTCCAGATTTGCTATTGTGGTTTTAGCACACAAATGTCACTGATCCAATTCATCATTTTCTTATTACACTAGTATCAGAAGGAAAAATACATTTCAGCACACACACATATATACATCAAATCGCTCGTTTTTTGTTTGAGTTCAGTCATATTCTTGAGGGTTAGTATGTAAATTGTCAAAGTTTGTATAAATTCTTGTTACGTAAGATTAAGCAGAGTTGGAAACTAATGGTAGTAAAACAGATGGGTTCACTCCACTGAACGTATTGGCTTCGCAAATCTACACGGTCTTGATTTACTTGTCATTTCAGTTCTCCTCTTTACTATTTTCGCTCTCCTTTGTTGTTGATTGTGTGGTGATTTCGAGATATGAATTAGTATATTAAGTCCTGTTTTCTAATCACGGCTAACCAAGTATTAAAGCATGAGACCTCATTTGATTCAACCGTTATTATTATTATTGTTTCCTGGTGTAGTGAATTCGATTACCGTTGTTTTTCTTTTTTGTTTATTGTTTAGGTATTATTCATCTTCAGATGACAGTGTAAGAGGTCTTCGTGGTGTACCTAATGGATCTAGTGGACCTCATACGAGTTCAACCACATCAATGTTGTCAACTGTACCTCCAAAATTTTCAGCTGTTACCAGTAATACTCAAGTATTGAATGGGAATCCGGATGATACTGCTGCCAGTAACAGATCTCTTTTTTCGAATCAGTGTAAGTTCGTAATTATAAAGGTAATTATACGTTATTATATTTAAAAAAACAGTAAAACTCAAGTCTTACTTCTTGATTATACCGTAGGCTTTTGTATTAGACTTTGAGTCTCTGGTCATGTTCACCGTTGACTATGCTTCAACTGGGAAGTGAAACGTCATTTTTTCCCAGACTAAAACATCTGTTGTGGCAGCTAGATATACAAATGTTTTGAAAGCTGAAGTATGCTGCACAACAGTGAGGTTTATTCCACCGTATGACTGAAAAATGTCATTATTAAGAGTGGATGACATATACCAACCGTAGATAGTTAAGCAGCACGTGAATGGTGTGATTTAGTAGGAATGGGTAAATCAGTGTATATGAACTTTCATCAATTGGAAAAACTTGGGGAATGAATTATACATATCTAGCCTCTACTTTTTTTTAGTACTGCGTTACGAGGCGACTAAACAAGTGGATTAAAAGTTGCTTGAAAGTGATAAAACCTAGATGCTTTGTCAGTGCTGCATACATTCTGTCAGCACTGTGACTGAACTCTAAAAGACGGTATACTTTCATGTATATCTATTATTTCTATTTGCTATCGTAACATTTTTTAATTCGAGTTATTTGTACAATTGGTTCCTCTTCAAAACTGTATTACATAATTTTTCAATTACCGAAAGGTATAGTGTATTGAAATTGTTCTGTTGTCATTCGAGTGTTCCTGCATGGATATGCTGAAAGGAGAGAGAATCGTGTTTTAAAGACCTAAACTTAGTGTATGAAGACATATGCCTATCAGCGCAGTTATATTCTGTGTGTTTGTGTTTGTGTGTGTATGTGTTTGTCAGTCATTAAGATGTTGATCAGTTAACGGTGTTGTGATTTTATATTGCAGAGTATACCGTTACTAGGTTGGTTTATGTACGATGTGGTGTTTGAAATAGTACTTATATCGTTTTAATCAATAACAAATTCAGGTTTAGCGTTTTCTTGTAAAATTGAGGTGAAATATAACAAGGGCGGTGTAATTATTCTATAATTAATTCACTCCATATTGGTTATGACAACTACTGACTTCAGTTGTTCAGTTCACTGCATTACAATGGGTTGAGTTATCAGAAATTGTATACACTTTGATACGTTGTAATGCAACAGATCTGTTCTATTTTTAAATACAACTATACCACCATCGTGTTTTTTAGTGCTGTCTAGCTTTAATATGCTTTGAAGCGGTTATTTCGTTAGTTTTCTTTCTTACTATTATTATTATTATTATTATTATTATTATTGTTATTATTATTATTATTATCGTCATCATCATCATCATAAATTCAGCCTTCACTATGCTAAACGCGCTCAAAGCTCTGTTTGACTCAACAGTAATCCAGTTATACTTTCCATTCTGTCTCCATATAAAGTGTTATTTAACCTAATCAACTGTTTACCCCATTCATCTTTTTTATTTTTTTTTCCTTTAAGAATACAACCATAAATTAGTTGGCAAAGCTATTTAGTGCACTTTTTTTTCAAAAATAATTCCTTGTGTGATTAACTTTGATGGTGTGTGAAATCTAGGTGTTTTATTGATGTGTTTGGCTGTCTCTCAGTATCACCTTACTTCCATTTTTGGCAATAATTCTGTTGCATTCTCCATCCATTGTAAAATTTATTTTAAATTCTGTGTATTTTTCGGGTTCACATTTCTTGTTGTATATAATGTGTTGTTAACTAATGGTTTCATGCAGAGAGCGGTCTAGTCGTGATTTCCTTCAAAATACCTCTTACTACTTGTGAGTAGTCAACTAAGTAGTCAACAATTTAATGGGGCTACTTATCCATCACTATTGATTGGTGCCAACAGACGATAAGTTGTTCTGCGCTTCTGCGTACTGATGTTAGCACTGGCTAGGAAAGACTGCTTATTGGAGCGAAATCGCGTAGCAAACTCATCCATCTTGTCGTTCTGTGTGCATAGACAGAGACCACAAGTGGACATCAGCATGTATCATTGTCTTTCTGGCTTTTTGTTTGTAACCTAGCCCAAACCGGTAGCTTATCTTCTGCACAACCTTGAGTAAATTTTCGACTGTAGGAAACAATCTGAAGTTCGGTAGAAAAGAGGGGCATCTTCAGTACTTCACACAATCGATTCTTGAGTATCGCTGCTACTGTGTCATTCTTAAGTCCAATATTCATAAATAGCGTCTTCTTTGGAACCTAAAGAGTTCTTTCTTGCAAATGTTTAGGCTTCATGTTCCTCTCAATGAATCTTGAGAGATAATTATCCTTGATAAATACTCTTAGAGGTACTTCTAGCTCCTTACTTACCCTTATTTTTCGTACAAATTCTTGTGATTATTGTGTGTAGTGAATGGGTTAGATTTCTTTTCTTGCTTTGTGGAACCCAACTTTGAAAATTAATATATTGTCCATTCCAGGCTCTTCCTGTAGATAAATCTTCTTGAAGTTATTTTCAGGTTCCATGTTAAGTTTTGTAGACTTGTGACATTTACTGAACTCTTGTAGTATGTATCTAAGGTTACTGTTCTGCTTACAGATGATGAAAATGTCTTCTGTATATTTCGTATATGGATGGAAGTGATTAATCAATAGACGTAGTTTATTATTCTGTAGACTAGTCATGATGAACCCATTGCTTTCCCATGCTTTTGTCGATAAAGTTCATTGTTAAATTTCAGTTGTACATTAAAGGTGCATCACAAGAGCTATTCCTTTAGAGAATGTCGATTTCAAGTTTTTTAGTCTCAATAGAATCAAGTAGGAACTAAATTGTTTCTGTAAAAGGGACATTTTTGAAGATTGACATGATGTTCAATGACAACTTGCGCCTTCCACACACGTCATTATCTTTTATACGGTTAAAAAGGTCGAATGAATCAGGCTTACTGTAATTATTGAGCTGATTGTTCCCTGGCTGAAGAATTCTTGTTAATCATTTAGAAATCTCATCATTTGTTGAGTTATTCAGGTCAGATATTGAATGAAGATGGACATTTTTCTAATTAACCTTGATAAGATCGTAGAGTCGCTCGTATAGCTCGATTGTTTGAATGTCTTTCTAATTTTACTGATTTCACTTCTATATTTTGATAACTTGGATTATTCTATTTCTGTGTTGACTTTTGCATCGGAATGATTGAATTCACTGTTGTAATAAATCAGTATGAACACTTAGATCTGGTTTCGTCCTCACAACAATTTTCTTTGACAACTTCACTTACATTTAATGGTTGTTTGAAATAATATGAAACCCTCCATAGTGATGCATATATAGAAGTCACATTTTCAAAAGATAATTGATGTAAGAAATGAAAGGAATACAAAGAATAACTGAAAAAGAAGGCTAAGGAAGATGGATTATAAATGGATACCAGCGTAAGGTAAAGTAAGGTAGTGTAGGTAGTTTTGGACTATTTCAGTAAGTCGATTGGTGCAAAACTTTCAGTTTGTCTATTTTCATTTCTCTCATACTAACAAGGCATAGCACATTTATTTTGTCCGACAACTTCGGTATCTTTGATTAGTCGTATGTAACGTTGTGCTTTCGGTGATTTGTAGTACTGTTTTTTTAAAAATATATCTCAATTCTATGGTTTATTATTTCATCTTATTGGTTATATTACGTGTGCAAATAAAGTTCCCAACATATGAAATTACTATTAAATATAAGATCTTATTTTGATAATTTAATAGGTACTTCAACTAACGACACTAAGTCAAATGATTTGCCTCAACAATCAACTGCTGCTCCTCCACCACCACCTCCGCCTCCTCCGCCACCACCGCCTCCTCCACCACCCCCACCAATGACTACTATTCCTGGATCGAAAGCCTGGCGCCAAACAACAAACACAGTTGGGAAATCTACAAATTTGCAGGCTACTATCGATGCTTCAGATAGTGGTGATTACGATGGTGTTGCTGAACCTGGCAGTTTAGATGCTCAATTGCGTATGGCCAGACAACAACGTCTTCGAGCTGCCTCAATAGCTGGCCTAGGAACTGACTCAGCTGCTCCCGGTGCCGTACGTACTCCTGGTGTGGATATGATGACTGATCTTCAGCGCGTTTTAGCAGCCCGTCGGAGAGCTAGGGAGGCTGAAGAAGTATGCTTAATCAATTCCACTATTCAGTATATCCTCCGTAGATCAAATTATGTTTCTCTAATTTTCCTAGGAATTTATTGCGTAATTCTCACTTTTGATTGTGATGAAAAGTCATTTTCACGTTTTCAAACTGGTAGAACAGTGACCGAAAATCTAGGGTTGATCAACAGCTTCCCCTCTTTTACCATGTGAAATCTTCGGGAGTACGCAGTAAAACTCAAGCGTCCGTAACAAGTACCTTCTGTGGGAACTCAAATAGTTTTCAAAATCTAAAATTGTTGAATTCAACTAGCTTCTTTTCTCTTCGTGACCTGTCTGATTGGAATTACCATTTAGGCGTTTTAGAGTTTTTGACAACCTTAGTAGTAGTATATTTCACATATGGAAGTCACTTGTATTTGTTACCCGTTGGTGTATAAACTCAACTTTCAATCGGAAGTTATGAATCCTAACTTTATTCAACATATCGGGGTTTAGGCAACCAAACAATGTCTCATAGCTTAGAATAGAAACGTATATGTGATTGCTGAGTCCTTATTGAAGTGATAACTGAAAAACCTTCTTGTAAATAGAAGGCTTAACTGACATGCTTACCTAACTTATGTTGCGGGGATTTCATCTTTCCTAGTGTACACAGCTGTGTGAATTAGCCGTTGAAGAGATATTGTGTAAAAAAGCTTGCAAATATCTAATAATTGATTTTATTTTATCGGAAAAAATCATCTAATCTTTAGTGTTGGGATGGAGCGTAAAGTTTCCAGGAAGTAAAATGCATCTATTGTTGAGGTTGTGATTTCGAATTCAATGAAGGGACTATGGTATCTATTATGTCTTATTATTATGTTACTTCCTATTGAAATAGGTTCAAAAAAAAGCCTTCAAGTAGCTGAACTGTTATGTGCAACTTATGCATGAAGTTAATTTCTTTTAGTATGCATTATTTAATAGAGATTACCATAAGTGATGATGGTACTGGGTGTACTGTGGGTCGCCAGGTGGAAGGCGTTAGGTAAATACAGTTCGAGTCGTACTATACGAAAGTAGACTTGTTCACTTCTTAAAAAAATCTCTTTCTATCTAGTCTTTGGACATATTATGTTCACTGATTTATTACCATTGGTTTGTTTTCATAATATTCCCCTTTTTTATTTTCTGCTTATGATTTCACTAAGTGTGACAATTTGAAGCGATGTGTATGATGTTTAAGTTCTGTTCTGTTGAGCTAAGCCTCATTGTTTTACTCCCAATGGTCTTGTTCCATTTTTATCTCATCTCTTCAACGTTCTACCTAACTTCCAATTTCCTTCTCTTCGTAAGCAGTATCGGATATGACCTACTTAGAGTGTCTATCTTGTCTGGATTTTCATTAGTTTATGTATTGATTATTGTAGGCATCATTATTGGGCTAGCTGAGTGATTATTCTCTAGTATGTTCGTCGACCTGTTTTCTAACCTACGAGCCAATTGTATTTATTCTCTTTGGGCTATTCAAATCGACATTCGATCTGCCTCTATTATATATATTATATACTAAGGATATTTCTACAGTAAACGTGGTATAAATGCATACGCATACAAACAAGGGGAAGAATAATTATGCCCAAATTTAGGAGAGGAATATCTTTATCAATAGTAAGCAGTAATTGAGCTAGAATAATGCACATGTAGTTCATACGGTTGTGAACTCATTGCATGCACTGTTACTTCTTTTTAGAAATTTTGACAGCAGTGGTCTGTTTCTTTGTTAGTTATACCCTCAGTACATTGCATTTTATTGGTTGTTCGTTGAGCTTACAAAACTGTGGCGCATCAAATGGATTTGTTGGTCAACATACATTTTTTATGGGATGCGTAATTTGAATAATTCTCAGACTGGAATATATAGATATAAGCCATCAAATAGATTGTTTTAGCAATTAGTTTTACTATAGGAAATAAACTCTTCAATGAGTAGCGTAATATTTGAATAGGTAGATAAAAAGGAGTTCTTGATTTCAAAATGCATTTTTATGTCCACATGTAGAGAAATTGTCTATATTCAACCAACACCATGAAGCTGTATTATCCCTTGCTAAAGCCAATTACTGATGTACGATCAAATGGACTCGCCGTCGTTCTGTATTATTTTGAAGCGTGAAGTTCAGCCATAGCTTTGTTTTATTTACAAGAAGTCAGATAATTGAAGATTAGTTTAAGTTATTATTCATCGAAGACCGACATCAGTTGGAGGAACAAAGGGAACCTGGGAGCACTGGAAAGCTGTTTCGTCCTAGTATGGGACTCCTCAGCAGTGCGCACCCACGACCCCACACCAACAGGGATCGAACCCGCGACCTTCAGGTTCCGCGGCGAGCGCGTTACCATTGAGCCACTGGGTCAGAATCCAACGCTCCATATTTCCAACTTCTGTTAGCTCACGATATAGCGCAAACCGCCACCCAATGTCATCGTTGAGTGTCTGTCCTCACGGCCATCAGGCTTTGACTCCACCGGTCACAACTTCTCATTGGAACTTCGGGAATACTTCTCGAAGCTAGTCACCAATGAGCACAAGTTCAATTAAATTTTGAGAAAGTTGTGGAGATTTGAAGATTCGAAGACTGACATCAGTCTTCGATGAATAACAACTTGAAATATTACCAAATCTCCACAACTCCCTCAAAAGATTAGTTTAGTTTTATAAAGGTAAGACTAATGCAGGATAAGACAGGGGACCAGTTATACCATAAGTTCGATTTTGAACCAACCTATTTAGTGACTACGATACACATTTAAGTTATAGTTTCATCAGTTGGTAAGGATAAATGGAATAACATTGGTTTCTTTGTTTTAGTTGACTGTTGTGCTCTATCCTGTCATATAAATGGGGACCATTCGCAATCTAAATAGCTCATTTCTAACACTTGGAGCTGCAACACACTGAATAATACCAGTTAGTATTTCTGAAGAATTATGAGTTTCTCATTATGTTTATTTGCATTATTTATTTTAATGGGTTTGTGAATTGTGCTGATTTGTAATTGTTTTTGCTTATTGCATGTGTTAACTTAGATAAAAGAAAAACGGTATACCTATTTTGTATTTTGGTTGTTGGTGGTTAGAAGTGGAATTCAGGATGTATATATGTATTTATTTAGCGAAAAATCCCCATCTTGTCATTGAAAAACAAAAAGAGATCATTTTCTTTTCAACGACTCATTTTCATGACTGTATATTCTTAAATGTATAGGTGAAGTAATAGAACTTTTCAGACAAATTTCTGGTCAAAGGTCAAGCTGAATCGGTAGATGTATGTAGAGCATGAAATGATGTTACATAACACAAGACATGACTTCACTTGTTTTTATAAACGATAAGATTTGGTATCTGGTACAAATAAATGAACACAAAAAAATATATAAATAAAATACAGAAATCAAACATAAGTAGAGGTGCAGAGTATCTGGTTAATGAGGATGTTTATGCATGCTTCTTTTGAATAAAAAATTGAGGTTTGCAGCTGTGAATTGCCAAAGTTTCGGTTGAACACATTTAATTGTAGATAGATTGACAGATGTGAACAATACACACTATGCCACAATTATGAGCTATGATCCAAGCTGCCATACTTTACTTCAATACACTAACGAGTAAAAACGTTGGTATAGGTAATTCACTAAGAAATAACGACTTCCTCTACTACATTATCAACCAAGTTTATTTTACTGGAACTTAATTTGTGCTGCTAACTAATTACGTTATCTTGAATAAATGATATACCTTTTTCAAAAGTAAGTAAGTAAGTAAGTTAAGTCAAGTATTAAATGACTAGAAAAGGGATTCACAACTCCATAGACCTAGGAGAATCAATAAGAAATATTTCTTTTGAACTGTTCACCAATTGTTTCATTTAACCCATCATAACACACATTACCAATTTCTATACACCGGTATGTAGCACCATCTTATGAAATGTTTTTATTTACAATTCATGATTTTCATTATGTTGGGATGTGGATTTTTTTTTGTTTGTATCAAAAGTTTTGGAATATACCTATCAGCTATTTTTTCTAGGCATATCTTGGCATTAACTATGATGTACAGTGTAGATAGTTCAGCTGTCATGATTATGTTTTTTTTTTGGATTCTTTAAAATTGTTAGTATTTCCGCTGATTTGTGATGCTGTCCTAAAAATATAGACGATTGAGTTCCGACACAGTGGCTAAATGACGACAGTGTGCTCTCTGTGGGACCTGAAGGTCCCAGGTTTGATCCCTGGCGGGAGTCATGGTTGCGTACTGCCGAGGAGTTACGTATTAAAACGAAACAGCTTTCTAATGCTTCCAGGTTTTCGATGGTGTTAGTCCGTGATGAATATTAATCTAAAATTAGTAAATCTCTACAAACCTCTAGATTGAATTTCTGTTTAGTGTTCCTTGGTGATGACATGCTTCTATTTGCGATTTCCGGAAGTTCTAATGAAAAGTGGTGACCGAAAATCTTTCTGTAATCACGAGACAGCAGTATGAAGTGGTTATTAACCTTTCATTTTAATTAAGGCAACTTGTTTCTATACAGATTGGTAACGACATGCAGATTTACTATTCATATACAGTTAATTGTTAGTTGGTAAAAACACGTGATGATTTAATGCCATGTTATGCCAACTATGTATCATGAACAACGTACCCTGAATGACATGTTGATGTGTATCACTGGACTTTCTGAATTACTAGCATACATAGTTAATCCTTTTAGTTGCTACTGAGGTCATTGCACATATGAGATAAGATAATAGTTCTTCATGTAAGGTAAAAGATTCGGTGTACTCTCCGAGTGTCACTGAAATCACCTACTTGGTATGTATGTGTGAAAATATTACTTGAATTTACCGTTGAGTATTGGGTCGGTTCCGAAATTAATCAATATTCATGTAAACTTTCTTGCATTCTGGTGATTGCTTAGATTGTTACAGGATATTTGATTTGAGTCAAGATATTTGTTAAAAAAGGAAAATCGCCAATGCCATTGTGAATTGTCGTTTTTGACTCGAGTTGATGTTTCAGCTTGATGCACAATCATGTCTCTAAAGGTTGAAAACTATGATAATTTGCTTGTTGGTGGCCAGCAGAAGAATCCAGGACGCTCATTTCATCCTATTTGGGACTCGTCAAGCAAATTACTATGATTAACATTCAGGCAATATCGAGGCATCCGCATAGGAGCCTATATGTCAATAGAGGTAGAACAACTCGATCCAATAAAGCAATGGAGAACAACAAGTATATCAATAATTAGTTGGAAACTATGTTGGAGAATCATTGTCAAGGGTTTTAATTATAATTGGAGAATTATTATAAAAATAGCAGTTCATGTTATTTTGTATATAACCTATTTTACAAGTGATCAGTTATGAAATATCTGGCGTTGAATTTGCATCACATCTATCCCACCTATTCGTTAAAACTAGATTTTAAAATGACCATTATTCTCTTCGTAGTGTCGATTGAGTATGATGCAATCATCATGTAAGGAATGCAGAGACTAGGCAAGGAAAATACTCCAGTTAGTGAAATTATGGTCATTTATTGACTGACGTATCTGGTTATTTGGTACACATGTGTTTTACCCACTATGTACTCCAGTCCTCAATGTTAGCTGCAGTAGAAATGCGTTGGGAGAAAGCTGTGATTGGCTAAACCAATAATTGACATCTATTTTTCGTTTGAGTTCTATACGGAGGCTACAGCTTCTTAGTTGGCGTCCGCATGGCAGCTGAAAAAAACCTCTAAAACTTATATCAATAAATAAATATTTTATTCTCATATCAATAATTTAACATGAGAGAAGCCAGTTTACAGGCATCGTCACATTGATATATGTTGGAAAATTTACAAGATTTTACGGGATCTAAATGGTACGGAATAGAGGTCATTAAAATAGATTAAAAACATCAGAAGATTACACAAGTCATGAAATGAACAAGAAAATACAACTTTCCAGCGTATACAGAGTGTTAAAGTTTGGATGGTTTTCAGTCATACTTTCTTTTTTCACCATTTGTAGCACCAAGGTCGCGCGAAATTCCAAATTTCTGTTACAAGCAGTCGACTTGTTTGATTCCTCTTCGCGATGCCCCGTTACGCTATATAAATGTCTATTTTACCATGAATTCTCATGCTTATAGCTTCGGGTACCAGAAGAACCCATACTGATGATGTTGAGAACCTGTAAGTTTCCACATAATCATGTAATCCAAGTGAATATCTATTCAAGTGTTATTATTCACAGCAATATGGATTTACGCCATCAGAATTAGATATTGTGGTGCAAAGGAATGAATATTTGAACGGACCAATGGCACTGAGTTTTCCATACTGTTCACGTTAAGGTATGCAGCATTGTCAAGGACGTATATTCACTGTTAGATGAAGTACTGGAGAAGTCTGTTTCATAGCATTATTGTGAATATGTTCACTTTAAAGTTAATAGATGAGTTGGTCTCCTGGATTTTACTGTCTCTCCAGATTTTCGATGCCATTATGACCGTCCAGAAATTTGAGTAATTCGAGGATTGATATATGTTCATATGGTGAGAGGGTCAAATGAGTGAATGGGATTGGTAGTTCTTGCTTATTGGACAGTAATTTCGTGGGGGCATAGTTTCATTGCTTCGAAAAGAAGTGGAATGTTGAGAATTGGTAACGTATATTCCTCATTTGTGTCCTGTTGTCATCATTGAAGGTTATCTTGATGATGTGGGTATTCGAGGATCCGAGTTAAACCCTTCGATCGTTTAGCGTTC